TCTTCATCGTTGGCGTCGTCGTCGCTGTTGTTGGTTTGTTATTCTTTTTTATGGTTGGTGTTGCTTGCTTCGTTTGCTCTGCACATATTCTTTGGTCTATCTTTTTGGCTGGTATTTCTCTACAGTTTTATTCTGGTTTCGAGAATCGGCACTTGTCTCTCTCTCTCTCTTTTTTTCGCGCCTTCGCCATACGCGGAATGCATTGCTTTCTCTCCCCCCCCCCCCCCCTATTTCTCTCTCGGTTTTATAGGTCGAATCCTTTTTTCAAGAGATCGACTTCCCAACTGGTCCCGAAGGAGCTGCAATGCAATTGCTTGGAATCCCAAGCATTTCCGAGGCTGCAATTCGAAGGAGCATACCATTCCAATACGAAATTTATTGTAATTTATGGATCTGTCAACATCTGGCATTTTGAACTGATGACATTTTATCGAATCTAATTTGATAGACGCTATTCGTTCGAATCAAACCATTTCAGTGGAATGGAAATCGAACAGAAAAACAACAGCAACGAATTGGCTGCTGTATGAAAATGTAATGGAGTTGACTTATGGATTTTACGAATGGAAGCGAGCATATGCTCAAAAAAATATTTCGACAGTCAAAATCAAGCTAATTCATCAAGCCGCCACCTCGCCGAACAAAAAAACGAGAAAAAATGTTCAGAGGCAACGACGACGTCAGAAATTTGGGAAATTATTCAACGAAACCTTTTTCGACCCGACCAACCATTCATAATTGATGAAATCTCTCGCAATTAAACATATGAAATCCTCTCTGTTCAAAATGGAATTTTTTTTATCGCAATTCACGAAATGGAAAAAAATAAATAAAACGAAATGTTTTTCGTTTGTATCGGCTCCATCTCATATGCGCTTTTTTTTCTCGTTCATTCATTTGCAAAGTTCGAGTTATATCATCATCTTGTCATCAATCACTTTAACTGAAAAATGCAAAATGCATCTGCACAATATGTTAAGCCCAAAAATGTGTGAGTGTTTGTGTGCATTGTATATTCAAAAATAGATTTCATTTGCTTTTTATTTCTGTTGTCTCGATCGTGCATTGTCTAGGTTTTTTTCTCTCCTGCCAGTGGGCTCCATGAACCGCATGCTCCTCCATGTGGCCGTATGTGTGTGTATGTGCTATTTCACTGAAATCAATTTTTCAAGCAAACCAGCGAAATTGATTGCCGCGAAAGAAATAGTGGAAGAGAGAGAGAGAGAGAGAGAGAAACCACCGAAAAACAGCAACTGTCACATCACTCACTTGTCAAAACCCAGAATAAAATGAAATTCAATTCAGTTATTTGTTAAGACAATCTTTTTTTTTAATTCTTTCTCCGCCGTAAACTGTTTTTTTTTCTTTCGTTTTTGAGTTGAAGACAAGAGGATGCATCCGACATTCTATCACACATCTGTTTTGCAAATCGGTGGCCCGAAGCCAATGCATCGCAATATTTTTCCGTTCCGTGATGCTTTTTGTAGCGGTTTTATTATTATTGTCAATGAGGTTCATGTAGTATTTTGAACTTTGTGGTGTAATATGTAATTTGTTGTTTTGCCGGTTTGGGCAAATGCGTTGAATATGCAAATTTAATGGAATTTTCATGAAATTCGTTGACTTTTTCGAAGTGATTTTTTTCTTTCAACGAAATTTTTTCCATCGTTTTTTTTTCTCCTCAAAAAAGGTGCTTTTCAAAAATAAACGTTCATTCGTTCGGTAATGTCGTAAATAAACTTTCGTTCATTTCGATGCTACAAGTAAGCGCAAGTGTGAATTTCGATGCATCATCAATTTCGTTCGAAAGGCCAAAACCCAATTTATTTGGCAAATTCACGTAAATTTGTAAGCGAAAAAGGCGAATGGATCATATCTGTTCGTTGACGCCAATTTAACTATAAATTCTTATCATACAAGCGCGCTGCATCATTCGTTTTTAGTGCTCAAATGTTGAACATTCGAGCAGCAGCAGCAGCAGTAATATACACCTTTCAAATCGAAGAAAAACAAAAACCTTTTTGATCATCATTTGATTCGCGCGTTTGTTGGCCGTTTAAATGGAATCGGTCGTTGATGTGATTGTCATTGCATAATCGATCGTTGAACTCTCTTTCGTTCGTATTGTTACTCGTTCATTTTTTGTTGTTGCTTTGGAGCTCTTATCATTATCCGAAAGAGGCGACGTTCAATCAGTAAAAAAAAAAAATTCGCTCATGCACTCACTGATAAACCAAAATTGAAACATGTTACTTCGTTTGTACATTTTCGAAAGCGTTACGACACATTTCGTCTCTTTTTTATTTACAACTCTTTGTGTGTCTGTTTGCCTTTCTTTGTGACGGGTATGATAACGGTAGTAAGATGATTGCCGAAAAACGGCGATTCGCTTTGAAATGATATAGCCCAAAAACAAAACGTTGTTTTAAATTAACATTCGATGCGGTAATGTGTGTGTTTTTTTTCGTTGTCGTCGTCGCTTGCGTAAAGTTGCAAAGGTAATCGCTCTCAGACGCGCTCTCAGCTGGTCGCGTGTGAATGGACTGAGGTGAATTCTGATATATCAGTCAAAATTTATTTTTGGACTTTGTTTTTATTTCTTCGAATCGTCGCACACGACGAAAAAATGTGATTGTGGAATTTTTTCACTTCCATTCTGAATATGGGAGATGCGGGAAAAACAACAACGTATTGAATTCGAGTTGAAAATCGCACAAATTTTTTTCTTCGTCCGAACTGATAACGAAAACATACACACACATACACTTATTGTGTATTTATGTTGGCATTAAATTTGATTGAATAATATCACTTTCACTGTGCCGTCAATTTTTAATGTATGAATTCGATTCGTTACAATTCGATTCGGAAAAACTGGAACACAAACACATGGTGCACATAGAAGACGATTCGAATACGTTGTGTTACGTTGGAAACGACATTTGCGTTCTGCATTGACATATGATTTTTTAGAATATTGTTTGAACGTGATAATTAGAATTTTACAAAATCGCAGTTTGGTCGTGTTTGCATAAATGATATTGCAAATGGTATGGGAATATCGAGCGAATATTGAGAGCTACAAAACTATGTAATCGATACATGAATATCTCTTGAGACAATGGATAATGATGAGAAAGAGATTAATTTTTCAACGGTGTATATTTTTGCTTGAATCAACTGCGGTGCGCAGAGCGAGAGTGAGAGAGAGAGAGAGAGAGAGAGAGGAATGAATGTTTGTTGAATGGTAAATCGATTTCAAATCAACTTGGGAAAAATGTGTATTGATGATTCAATCTTTTATATTATTACTGAAAATGGGTGTGCTTCAGCTGGTATCCAAGTGGATAATAGCTATGGCTATAGGTGTGATATATCACTTATACGTATTTTAAGTGGAATAGCAGTTTTCAAAGTGTTGTAAAAGAGTTTCGAACCGAAGCCACTGTATGCTGACCATAAATAATAATTGAAGAAAAAAAAAGAAAATATGATAATCTGCTGCTGCAAAAAATGAAAATTAAACCTGCCGAAAAAATACGTGAATAAAGTGATGTTCTACGAATATATCCGTTTTATCTATGCCTTATTCTTCGAAATGCCTATCGATTTAGCACACTGAAACTTTTTGTTATGTTTTGGCTACAGTACACACACTGAGTACTGTACTCAGAAATGGTTTGTGTGCTATATTCAATAAGTAAACATTTGGTTGTTATTTAATTTGTTCTTTTTTCCTGTTGTTTCTGTGTTTCATTCGTGAGTTCGGTTCTGATGCAATTGAGTGAAGAGGAAAAAAGTCATTAGAATTTCGATGCGACTTATTTGTAAACAACAGAGCCTTTTCGAAGAAAAAAAAAAATGAAAACCTATTTATAACTGTTCTTATCACTGTCCGTGTGGATGGTGGTGCACAAATGCATGTTCGAATAGAATTGAGTCAAATGACACACACACACACTCACATACACGGGAGAAAAAAAGGGAACTGAATATCGATGTCTCCACAATAATAATAATAATAAAATGTGGATATTCCTCTCTCTCTCTCTGTGTGTGTGTGTGTGTGTCGTGTATTCCGTTAGCATTTATTTGGTGAACGTGCTATATCATGAGCGAGACAAGAAATAGCATTGCTTGAGAACAATGAACAATTTTGATCACATTGGACACGGTTATTGCCGTCGAACGAATGCACATTTCGTCGTTTGCAGTTGCATGCTTTTTTTTCTTCTTCTTTTCGTGTTGTGTAAACATATTGTTTTCGCAAAAAAAAAAAACAAACAAACGATAGCATTGTCATTTAAATGCGAAGCAAAAGACAAAAAACCGAAGCCATTCTCGCATCCAAGGAGCAAATTAATATTAAATGGCACATTTTGGTGGCGGTGTGCAAACATACGCTCGCAAAAAAAAGAAACATGAAAAAATTCCATGAAAGAAATGGAAAATACATTGAAAGAAATCAACACAGAGAGCAGCGAAAGAAGAATAAAACAAGAAAAAATTGGTAACAATCGAAACGAAAATGAAAATGTTCCAATCAGCTAAACTAAAAAGCAACTGTTTACTGTTATTTTATCGAATTCGCATCATTGTTACACACATAACATGAGGTTCTCTCTGTTTTTTTTTTTTTCATTTGACCAGCTTCTTGTGCAGCGCGAGCGCGCTCGCGATTTTGCGATACTGTGTCTTTGCAATGTTTTTTTTTTATCAGCGCAACAATACGAATCCATTTCGTATGGCCACTTCGAAACCTTTGAACCGACAAAAGCAATGCATATTTCGGCCCGCATATTACTACATTATTGTGTTCATTTGTTGTTGTTGTTGCCATTTTCAAGAACAAAAGCCCATCACACGAACTTAATGCACCGCACAGTGAATATGGATTAACGTCACATGACGAGATTAGTGCGAGAGAGGAACAAAAGAAACAAAATACGCGCGCGCATGGCCAAAAAAGAACTACAATTTAAATGCTATATCCAACTTACCGTCACGACTCATTCCTAATTTGAGGCACTTTTGCAGTCGACAGTATTGACATCGGTTTCGATTTACTCGATCCACCACACATTGTTTGTTTCGCGGACATTGATAGTTCACCACGGAGCTCTGTGATCGTCGAAAAAATCCTTTGCATCCTTCGCACGTAATCACACCATAGTGCACGCCCGATGATTTATCGCCGCACACTTTGCATGGGATTATTTCTATTTGCGCTGTAGAGAGAGAGAGAGGAGGTGAAAAAAAATCGAAAAATTAGTTTAAGAAGAAAAAAAAACGCAGTAAAAACTTAAGCTATAAATACATTTGGTTATATTAAACGAATTTGTAGTAGGTAATATAGCCTAGGGGAAAAGAGAGAACAGGTCATATTAATATTCTGGTTGATTGCCGCAAACCATTCGTCATTCATTCTAGCTTAGTTTTGGTGTGATTTCAGTGAACATAATCGGTAACGGTTGAACGTGTTTAATTGGTAGAAGTATCGCAACACGAACCTGAAATATTATCGGTAAATTTAATGTGTGTGTGTGTGTGTTTTTGGCTGTAATTTTACAACAACTTCTATACCAGTTTAATCGCTTTGTTTTTTGTTTATGTTTTTTTTATTTCAAGCGCTAGCGTGTCATTCACACATCTCGTTTAGTCGTTTTTTTTTGTTTTCTATCATTCCGATCATCCCAAACGAAGTCGATGGCGAGAGAGAACAAAAAGTTTTGACCAGAATTTCGGGTGAAACTGTATTTTTTGTTTGTTTCAAACACGAAAATAACTGAAATAAAAACTTCGTCAACCAATGAACAACCGAAAAAAAACCAAAATCTATTTCTTTGCAATTTATTTACAGGGTTTAACGATTTATTTTTGTTCAATTTTTTTCTGTTTCATTCGCAGCACTGCGCTATGTTATTGTTGTTTCAACACACACACACACACAGGTCTTTTTGTGGTGTTGTTTGTGATTATTTGTTTAAATGGTTTCCAGCTGAAATGCGATAATTCGACGCTTTAAAATCCGAAAAATTTGCGAATCTAAGAGAAATGGCATATGGTGCAATAATATAACAACCGAATGAGAGACGCAGAGAGAGAGAGAGAGAGAGAGAGAGAGAGAGAGAGAGAGAGAGAGAGA